ATGACCTCTGAGGTCCCGAGAGAGCCAGTTCCCACTTTTCCTTCCCACCCAGAATCCACGAAGAGAAATGCGTAATTGTTTCAAAATGCCTTTTAATGGGTCGCACTCGGCGTCTCCCATCTGGAACCGGTTGTGTTCTTCTCAATTTGTCAGCCTTCCTGCATTTAAATTTGTTCCAGTCCATTTCGGCATGTTTATGACGGCATTTTTATTTTTTAAAAAAAAGAAAATAATAATGTTTGTATAAGAATTCTGAAGGCAAAACAAGCAACTTGGGGTGAATTCTTTGGGGTAGTTTTGCAAGATGATGCATTAAAGCTCTTGTTAATGATTGCACCAAGAACAGGAAATGTTCCGGCTCAGTTTTTTCTCCGCTGTGCAAACTCCCAGCCTTCTTCTTCTACGGCCATTTCTAAAAGAGAGAGAAGTTGTGGGGGAGGTCCTTGGTGTTCTCTGAGCCCGGAGGCTTTCTTGCAGACGTTTCATGACCCAGCTAGGTAATATCATCAGTGTTCGAGGTGAATGGGGTTTGTGATGAGGAGGAGGGGAGGTAGGATTGTGGGGTCTTTGGTGCTCTCTGAACTTGGTAGTTTTCTTGTAGACCTTTCATCACCCAACTAGGTAACATCATCAATGCTAGAACCTAAAACCTCCCCTCTTCCTTCTAGCCCTGATGATGTCCCCTAGTTGGGTCATGAAACGTCTGCAGGAAAACCACCAATCCCAGAGACCACCAGGGACCCCACATTTCTGTTTCTAAATGTCTCCAGCCATTTCTATAACTATAACATCACTCTTATCCTCAACACCTAAAATTAGACTCCCATTTTTTTTAGGCTCAAGTACAAAATCCAGAAGTGGTTTCCAAATGGAAAAAAAAAAAGCTAGATAAATTCTTTTCTTTAATTAGCGCAATCAGTTTGAGGATCTCTGCCAGCCCCATCACCATCCATTCTTCCATTGTGGGGAAATTAGTGTGCGCTCCCATCATTGTGTATATAAGCCAACGCATCAGCTGATGGTTGCAACGTTGATCTCCCTGTTTAACTCCAAATGGTCTTCGCCTCTTTCTCTCTTTTTCCTCCTCCTTCTTCACCCATCTAATAAATAATGCTTTTATTTGCTGGACCAAACGGCCCTGTCAAAATCGGATAGGTTCAATCGAAACACACGGGTGTGTATTTGCAAGACCTCATGGTGTGGAGGGTGTCCAAAAAACACACGCACAATTCATGCTTTGACGTGGCTGAAAGAATTTTCCTGTCTCCAAGTCTCAGCATCTCTTGAGCTGGTGGCTATTTTCCCGACTTCAAAAAAGATGCAAGACCAGCTTTGTTCCAGAAAGGCTGTAATGGTTGACGTTCTAGGTACAACCCATTCCGTAAAAGGAATACCTAGAACAGGGTTTCTCATTCTTGGACACTGTAAGATGTGGAGACTTCAACTCCCACAATTCCCAGCCAGCCAAGCTGAGATGTAGGGGCAGCTTCTCACCAGATGGGGTGGATTGGTTGGACATTCTAGATGTAACAATGTTTCCAAGCTGTAGAAGGGATATCTAGAACAATGGTTCTCAATCTTGGCCATTTTAAGATGCGTGGATCTCAACTCCCAGAATCCCTAGCAAGCCATGCTGAGATGAAGGTCCAGCTTTACTCCAGATGGGCTGGAATGGTGGACATTCTGGGTCTGAAGAGTTCTAAGCTGTAGAAGGAACATCTAGAACAGTGGTTCTCAATCTTGGCCACTTTAAAGAGTGTGTACTTCAACACCCAGAATCTCCCAGCCAAGCATGCTGACCTAATCAAGCTTGGCTCCAACTGGTGTGGAGTTATGGACGTTCTAGATCCAACACTTGATACCAAGCCATAGAAGGAGTATCTAGAACAGTTTTTTCAACCATAGCCACTTGAAGGCCTCAGCTCCCAGAATCCCCCAGCCAAGCATGCTGAGATGAACATCCAACATCTCTCCAGACATGCTGGAATGGTGGACATTCTAGGTCCAACACATAGTTCTAAGTTGAAAAAGGAATATCTAGAACACTGTTTCTCAACCTTGGCACCTTTAAGACCTGTGCACCTCAACTCCCAGAATCCCCCAGAGATGCAGGGCCAGATTCTCTCCAGATGGGCTGGAATGATGGACGTTGAGATGAAGGTTGGCTTGGGAATTCTGGTAGTTGAGGTACAAAAGTCTTCAAGTGGCCAAGGTTGAGAGACGCTCATCTAGAGCCCTCCACCATTGTCCACCCCTCTTTGACTTAATAGAAGACCTCCAACATGAAAGGAACTTCCTTATTTTCCTGAATTATTATTGTTATTATTATCCCAAATCTCTCCCAGTTCCTCCTGGTTTCTCCCTGATTTCTCAAGGTAGTCCAACCGACAGATTTGGCCAACTTGAAAGGGGCCCTTGGTTGACGTGCACTGGAAGGAGAATTCCAGTCTGCATCACCTGGAAATTTTTAGTCGAAATCTCGCATCCTGGAAGGAGGCCATCTCAAACCACGTTGGACATCCTGGCCAAGAAAATGACAGAGACGTGCTTGTGAAGTCCTACTCGCCTTCACAAGGGAGTCTTTCCCTTAATCGTATTAGCTGGGTTTAATTTATTGACCTTCCTAGTTGAATCATATTTAGTTGGGGGGCTGAGGTCCACCCATTTCTCGGGCCTGGCATCGCCTGGCGGTTGGAAGGAGAAGCCCTGATGCCTTCTCCAGATGTGATCTTTGGAGCAGCAAGAGACGGGCAGTGCCATGCTGGCCCTGCCAGGGGTTCCAGCTGTTTCTGCTTTAAGGGACAACATGTGGACGTCAATCTGGAGGGCCTAAGATGGCAGCTGGCTTACGCCTTGGTCTGTTGGCCCTTCCTTGCTGCCTGAGGTCCATCCCTCCATGTTGGTGGCTCCTGGACTTGTAGGGAGAAGAAGCACCTCAGCCTTGCAAGCCTGAGAACCTACAAATCTCAGACATGGCGACTCCTTGGTCCTCCCTTCATCTTTGGACCAAATCTTGATTTAGGCAGGCAAGTCCTGCCTGGGCTTGTGGGGTGATGGATCTTCGTAGGGGAAGATCTGACATTGGAGGCAGGAAGCTCCCTGTGTTCTGGCTACAGAAGGATGTTGAAGCGCAACTTTACCAGGTCTTAGAAATGTGTTCTTTCTTTCT